ACAAAATGGACCAAACGACTTTACAGACAAACGGTGACTATACCGACATACCGTTACTCTGGCCTTTGAAAAAGAAGCCATTCAAATTTTGGACCTAGTATCTTCATTTCTGAGAATTTCTCTCACTCTCTATAGCTTGTTCACTTTCATCTGACAGCGGTTAAAACATGATACATACAATGAAATCACTGTTTGATTATCTCAGATCTTTGCACACGGGTCTAAAAGACGGATAGACCAACAGAATCAAAAAGCCCATTCATAAAGGTCACTGCAAACTAACGTTCCGACTTGTCTTGATGTAAGCCTGAAGCGGGTAAAAAAAATAATAGGAGATTTACAGTGTACATCTGAAATATCTAAGTTTACATATTTTCAACGCCACACTTTTTTTTTTTTTGTAAGAGTTTTACAGCACTTGCAAAACAATAAGATCATAAAGGTGTCGAAGATTAGTGATGTTACAAGAGAGTAACAAGTACAAAACAGAAGGAGGGGAGATAAAGACAAGTTTGATAGGAAAGAAGGAGCAAACCACACCAGAGCACCCACCTGCTACACCTTTTTAAAAAAAATTTTTAAAGCAGGTTTTACGGCGTTTGTAACTGCATAAGGTCATATGAGCACCAAGGGGTGGATGTCAACAGAGAATTCTTTACAGGGAATCAGACTTACTCTGCTCACATCTCTAGATTCAACAGCACAAAGTCTACTTCGACTATCAAGGCACCACAGAAATAGCGGGTCACAAGAGAGTGTGACAAACATACAAGAGAAGTAGAAGAAAATGACGATAGTAAGGATTAGGAAAGAAAAAGCAGCAGTTCCCAGTTGTAGTTCAGGCACAATTATAAGCTGAATCAGCCCATTTACAATTCTACTGTGCAAAAGAACTTGAGATGTTAATGCCCCCCCCCCCCCCCCCCTTTGGGAATGGCCTAAAGACACTTCAGTCAGTGGCACCACCGCGGGGGGTTCGCCACACTTTAACGGAAGCCTAAGAAACATGATTCAAGAGATGGGATGAGTAATTTTTGAGATTCATGTGGAGCACGTGGAGATGTCAACAACCTTGGGATGAAATCTACAAGCTTACACTGAAATGTGGAGGCAGGGTGGTGTCACTGTCGCAAAACGAGCAATTTGTTGGCAAATTTACTGTAAGACATTTATTTTGGTGATTATGTGTATGCATCCGAAGAGTGGTTTTAATATAATAAAGGACCCCAAGAGAAAAACATTTTTATTACTGAATCGAGATTAATTTATTTTTTAAAATGTTTTTGTTTATGAGCTAAAAAATTTTTTTTAGCGCGGACGGACGAAAATGAACAAGCTATAACTCTCTGGAATGCTGCAATGTCCCAGTACAGATTTCTCAAACACTGCTGCCAATAACTTGAGCACCGGACATTTATAAAAATAAACGTACTAAAACTAAAAAGGATAAAAACATTTGAAAGGACATTATGTGGCACAGACAGAATGATCAAATAGGGTAATTATGGAGAAGATCAAACATTTACAGACAGTGTGGCAGTGTACAGTACAAATCTTCAACTCTTTATCTCCAAGGGCGACAAACACATTACGTCGGGGCCTTTTTTGGTACTAAATCTAAAAATGGCAAAAACGTTTCTAAATAGGTCATGAAATCAGAACAAGTGAACCTATTTTTATAGTTCTTCATCTAATGAATAAACTCCTGGTAAAAGAGACCTGTTTTCAGCAATTGCCGAAAAATAATTTGATGTGGAGGTTGTCGTAAAGGAATGTGCCCAAGCCGCTGCCAGCCGCTTATTGGAGATAGAGGGCTAATAAATAACAAGAGTCAGTGAGTAACAAAAGTCAATGTGTAAAGTACAATGTTTCTAACAGCCATGTCTCCCAACTGCTGGAAGGGCTGTAGAACAGAATGTACTGTAGTATAACAAAGCGCTGGATTGTAGTTCAAAATCGTTACATATCTGAGCTTTTGGCTTTACACTGACAGGCAAAAAGAAAAGAGGGAGACCAAAAAAAAAAGCTGCAACATTGTAAACGGAAGGGAAAGTCAAGCAGAACTGGCCGCTGTTTTAAACAAAAGCTGTGCCGAAATGTCTGTCTCCCCTATACACTGAATGCAACACAGGAGCAAAGTAGGCTTACCAAGTTTTGATTTAAAAAATGGATAAAAACATGAACTCGTGCAAAGAAAAAAACAGATAAAATCATGCCAACAAAATGGTTTTATTGCACAAACCTTTGTGAAAAGGGTCATTATCAGTAGAAAAATGACTACTAATACTACTAGACTTTCCTTCAAAAAGACAGTTAAATGTGCGAAATCTGAATGCAACGATAGAAATAGCATTGGGACCTTTTGTGCTAAATAACATTATTCAAGACATTGCACACATGTTTGTTATTTCCTCCAAATGTGTAATACATCACATCACTCCCTTGTGCCAAAACGGTACTTCCCTCAGAGCCTATAAAGAGAAAAAGTCAAAAAAGAGGAAAATATTCCAGCCCTGTTGCAATCCGTAATTTCAACATAGAACTTTAATACTAACTACAATAATATAAAACATACCGCCTTTTGTAGTAATATTTTAGAAACAAAACAAAAAACGGAAATCCGCAGAAAATTATCAGCACTGTTCCCTACAATATGAATAACAATTGTAGTTCCTAGGGACCTGTTTTATCGGGGAATTGTAAAATTCCAGTCATTGCCACTAGAGTGCATTGCTACTTACCAGCCGCCTTAGGGCCACTTTCGGCTTATAACCGGAAGCATGTGGTTAAACCTTGATATCAACCACAAATTGAAACCCACGTCGTAAAAAGATGTCACAGAATGATCTCCCTTTTTTGGCCGGTATTAGGCAACTGCCAGATTAATCCATTTGGTATATGTTTACTCGATAAGACATCACTTTTGGTGAGACTCAGAGTTGCCCTTTTCCGGCCGCCTATTCGACTATTTGCCTCTTACCGGCCACCAGTTTCCCTGATACCGGCCACCAGTAAAACTCACGCTATAACATCGTTATTTTGAGGTTTTTTTGTGTGTTTTCCCTTTTCAACACAATAAATCAACATCTAGTTAACGTATTTTGTAGCTATGAATAAGGATAGAGGCTGAAGAGCTACCAGGGAACAGTGAATATGAAAACAAGTAACAACTCCAAACAGCGACTGACGTTGAACCAGAGACCACGTCAAGAATTCTTGTGAATTGACCCAGCCATTGGGGGTGAGGTCATAATGCGCTTCTCTAAAGTCATCCCAGGGATGGTAGGTCCATCTAATGCCTGGGAAGATCATAAATGGGGAGAGAATCCTTCCTCCAGCAGACCCGGCACAAAGCACAGTTATTTGCGTCTTTGTGTCAGGCCCGATGGAGTAGGGATGCTTCTCCTTTGCATCAGTCACCACTACACTGCCCCCCTGGAAGAAAGGAAAGCCGCTTTCATCCACATTGAAAATACAATGGGGGGACACTGTGGTGATATTAATTCCGTCTTGGGCCAGGGTGAGCTCAACTTCTCTGAACCAAGCCCTGATTTTATCTTCGCTCACTTTGGCTCGCTGCTCCCCAAGGATCATGGTTTTTCTCTGCTTGAGGTCCGGGTGGGGATTTAAAAAGCAATAAAACCACTTCGATCCTGGCTTATTGTCCTTGAAGGGTGTGTCTCGCCCCTCCGCATTAAGAATTCGCTGGATGGCGAGACACACCTCTTCTCTGCCTTGGCCACAGCCCCGTGCAGCACTCTCTTTCAACCACTCCACCACTCTATCTTCCTCCTCTTCAGTCAGGACGGTGCGGACTTTGGGCTTGACAGGGTATGCCCCTTTCAGTTTGTCCCACAGAGCGGCTCTCGGTACTTTAAAGGTCGAGGCAGCCACCCTTTGGGACATCGCACCTGACCTGCATGCATTTACTGCAGCCTCCATGTCATCTTGAGCATACAGCTTACGTTTCTTATCCATTTTCTGGGAGGCAGAAAGGGAGTGTGGGTTGGGGTGGAGGCATACATGCATTAAGTTAAGAGAGAAAAAGAGGATAGAGAAACAAAACTCTTTTTATTACTCTTTAGAAAAGGACAGGCAGATAATCTAGACTGTATTCTGCTCATTTTTACCCTGAGTAAAATTAGCCTACTGATTTCAAGCCGTCTCATTAGTCTCAATCTCAGCCACACTTCGTCACAACACTCTATATAAATCTGAATTATAATATAATAATATTAGATCTAGGCCTACTACTCATAATCGAATACAGATCAATGTAAGAATGGTGTGTTTAGTAAATTAAAAGTAAAAATTTAGTCTGATACAAGTTCACATTGGGGGGAGGGGGGGGGCGCTACTGGTTGGTCATCTACTTCTTTCTGTCTTACTTTTTTCCTGGCACTAAATGGCCATTTTTATTGTATTGATGTGTTTCTCTTAATCAAACAAACAAACAAGTTCACAACAAAAATTTAATTAATCTAGATCTTAGAACTAAAACAAGTTTAAGTAACTTTCTTCTCGTCCGGCCGATAACGAGGCAACACCAGCTAAATTAGCTGCCAGTTACCAGCCACCCCACTCAAACGGCGGGAATTTCATTTTCAACCAGCAGACGCAAATAGGCAAGTCAGGCATTATATCAAAATGACTTTCGTTTTCACAAGAGGGCTTCCTGTCGATAATAGGATTGCTCAAAGCTTATTGGCTGACTCACCTGGCCTTATTCGGAAGGACAACAATAGCGGCTGAAGTGAAGTAGGGGTTCTGAAAACTGTCGATCTCAGTAAAAAAACACAGCAATGGCGCTCCTGTGACGGCGGAAAGGTAGCAGGATAAACAAAGACTGCGCAAGTGCAACAATTGTTGACCAATTGGAACAATTGTTGCATTGAGGTAATATTTTGTCACGAAAAGTACCGCGTGCGCTGAGAGCGGCCGATAATGAGGCGGCGGCCGGTAACGAGCTATGCACTCTAGTCTATATGACTATATATATATTAATTTTCCATTGTAAAAGAAGCAATACAGGACAGGACATAATCTAAAAGCTGCATAAGAGGGAATTATTACGTTTCTACTTTACAGTCAGGGATGAAAAGATTAATTATGATGGATAAGGTCAACGTACAAAAAAGATGAAGATAACCAAAATGACCCAATAAATGATGACAATGATGATGAAGATGGCCATAATGAATGACACTAGTGATGACCATCAATGATGACGACATGATGAAGAGCATGATGAAAATGACATTGATAACAATGATGATGGTGAGGATGAAGCGGTGGAATTAACGATCCATCACTGGGGCACCACGATGTAGGGCTGATAGGGTAACAGTTTTAACTTCTCGTGACAAGAGAAGATCCACTTGGGCTTCACAAACACCAGGTTAGCGTTCTCGTTCAGCGCCTGCGGACAGAGAGAGA